AGAAAACGAGTAATGCGAACGATATTATACAGTCATATCCTTTGCTTGCTCTAACAACCGATGGAGAACGGGTTTGGCGCCGCGCCAAACCCGTTCTCCATCGGTTCCTGACACGCCCAACCGTCCGCAGCGAACTACACTATAGCAATGTCGAGAAAAAGACTAACGTAAGACTAGGATATCGGCGGAAGAACCAACTAACCCGCAAGCAGAGCCACACTTTTGCAACTGTTCGCGAAAAGACTAGCGGTCTTCTTGAACGTTTTCTGTAAGTACTGCTGCATCCGATCTTCGTTTGCTGCTGGTTTCTCCGTCATCTGCATAAACTCTCCCTGGAAATAAAATCCTTCTGAAAAATGAAAATCTATGAGAAGAAATAAGTTACGCTCATGGTCCGTACTATATTACCACCTACAGCACCGTGCACTCATAATCCACTCCTATACTTTTTTGCCATGCTAAGCCGTATTCGCTTCCCTCCCCATTTACTTCATGCCAAAGGAGGCAGGAGAGAGAGAAAGAGAGAGAGCTCCATGAAAGTTTGAGCCTACACGGAGAAAGGCTCATTTGGAAACGCAATTTGGACAGACGGCGCCATGTTCTCCAGGGAAAATTAGGACTAACAATTTTTCAGCGAAGGAACAGCAATTTTTTTCTAGGCTGCCTGTAGGACGAAAAAAAAGAGGATCTTGAGGATCTTAAAGCTCTACGCATCCGCGTTTCCACGCCAGACAAGAAAACGAGAACAGAAAAAAACTGAAAACTTTTTTATAAACACTCCAAAAAACTCAAAACAGTCAAACTTTAATAGTTTTAGTTTCTTCAGATTTATCCTTTCTAAGTTGCATTATATTCAGGTTACAAAAGAAAATTGAAAGCACAATATGTGACGCCATTAGGGCTTGTATGTTCACTCGGAACAAGATGTTCTTACCATAACTAAATCTTCATTCTTACCATAACTAAATCTTCAATGATTGATGCCATGACTGCTATAACGTTTGGCCGATTGATAGAGCACAGTATTTGAGTGGCTCGGGCTAGGATGAAATCGCCCACTAGTACTGCCTGAAATAGTGTCCTTGAGCCACTAAAAATTATCTATGAAGAATGTTGGTGATGCTCTCAGATCACTCTGAAACCTAGAAACCTGCTCGAGTTTTGCCCTCATGTTAACACCAGAGCATTATATTGTTGCCTTATTAG